AAACAGTAATAATAAAACTTAAATTAACAAACGCAATCTTCCCAAACTCTTCCGTCAAATGAAAGGTATGAAACTATCGATACCTTCATTGTAATCGTAATAATTACACAAAAGTCTATTTATCCGATAGATGCTAATTCGTTCTGATTTAAGTATTGTCTACTTCGAATAATATAATACTCGTAATAATATATAAGCTTAACCTTGAAATAAAATTTACCAATATAAATTAATGTCAAATTTAGTATTAAGGTCGATAGAAAACGTTTAACCACTCCCTAATTTGTTTGGATTATTATTCAATGATGCGAAGTAAAAGATATACGATATACGTCACACGTTTTAAGCACACTTAGTAAACAAAATTTAACTAATACAATACAAATACGTCAGCGATTAAATGAAAAAAATAAAAATTGTTGTGATGATAAAAATATCATTATAATGTAATTTTGTGATATTTTGATTACTAAGATTTAGTTATAATTATTATATACAGAAATTATTTAAAAAAGTTTACTTGTTACAATTTGTTTTATATTAATTTGACTAGCCTTAAGCTACAATTAGACCCTAACATTATCATATGGAACAAAATCTTCATGTAGATATGTGAAGGCATGACTTAGGATCTCCACTATTTTATTAAAACGAAGGTGTGTTTGGAACTCTATTTCTGAGACATTCTCCAAGTATTATTAGCGCTTTCGTGTCATGTAGTTCTATGCATTTCTTGCTGTCCATCAATATTTAATATTTCCAACTTAAATCAGTGTGTCGCTAATAATGTAATAGTATACAATTTGTATTCATTTTAATTTAAAGTCTTAAGATTCCAATCAATAAATTTCGAATAATAATTATGTCTATACCAAGTATTTCTTTGAGCACAACTTTAGTAACTTCTATACAAAGTATAGTCTACTAATGTAAATGTAGACCACATTTATATTAGTGTAAAATATATTCAAGTAAAAAAAAAATATTTTATATGCATAATATATTTATAAAAAGTCAACATAATAATTTGACAAAACAGAAAGTCAACTTAGACTTCAATTTGTGCCAGAAACCCCAGCAAAGTGGGAAACTACAAAGTTTTTCAAATTCTTTGGCTCGACTTTCAAAAGTATATTTAACATAAAAACAAAACACTAGAATACCAAGGCATAAACGACTTGACCTGACCTTCAGTGTGACAAGAGTTCAGGCAAGTACGTTTGATGCACGAAACACACACCCTTCTAGCTGGAAGGCAATAGAATATAAATAAAGAACTCAGCTGCCGTCGTCGCCGCTGTCGCCGCCTAAACCAACAAACGCCAGGAAGCCCACAATTTTAAAGGAGCTTTGATGCAAAACACAAAATGGATGAAATGATGTGACTGCTTTGAATTTTAATGCCATTTAGTGCAGAGTTGAGCCAGAATTTTACTTCTTAAGTTAGCTACTGTTTTAAATTGCATGAGAAATAACAATAAAATAGAAAAGAAATTTAAAAAAAAAATGTCCTGCATAGCTTAAGGCACAAAATACTGTTGCTCCGATCAGTGGCACTTGGTGATGATGCAAAATATTACGAGTATAGCAATATTTACTTTAGCAATTTTATAGTCTTAATTTAGGAATATTTCTTGCATGTAATGGACCTCAACCAAGAGCAAAGAAAAATAAGGTTAACTCTGATGTCATGTCATAGATTCTTATATGGTTTTATTACTGTAATATTTTGCGTTTCCTTCCATTTTACTATTTTTATCATTTTATTGAGACATGACACATGTGTTATCATGATTTCAGTAAGATTTCCTATGAAAGCTGTTCAAGTTATAAAATATATATACATAGAAATACATTTGCATATGTATAAATCTGTGCAAATTTGAATTTTTATGACTGAAAATGAGTCATTGTCAAATTTACTGAAGCTGTTTTGATACAAAATCAAATTATATTAAATAATATAAAAAAATTAAATATTTATTTCTGCATTAATATGCCATCAGAAATCAACCAAAATACACGATATATTTATATTCAACATTTTCTGTGACGATAATAAAATTTTTAAATATTCGCAACATGTTGTGCTTGCAAACAATATTAAAAGTTAGAAAATTAAAAATGTTTTTTATTACGAAATTATTATAGATTATAGAATTTTTATATAACATACAGGCCCGCAAACAGAAATTTACTATCTGAAAGAGTGCTTACATATATTTTAAGTTAATAAAAAAAAATTTGATTTTATCTTTAACTATCATAACCCATAAATAATGTTTATAAATAATTGTAGTCCTCAGATAAATTTGAGAGGGTTCAGTTTCTCAAAACCAATTACAAGCAAGAAGACTGTCTGTTTTG